CCCTCATGCTGTGTCGGTAAGGCCGTGAGGTGAAGGAGACGAGCACGGACGTGTGGCTGGAGCATTACCGTGCATGTGCTCTCATTCGGATGTGCCGCTGTGGAGCTGGGTTAGCGGACAGCCCCAAGAAGCGGACACAGGAGAAAAAGGCATGTCCAAGGTGACACGTCATCAACAGATGTGTCCAGCTCTTCGGGCTAGCCACGGAGTGGCGAGGGCGGCGGGAGGAGTGGGACAGGGCACCATAGGTGGGGTTTCACCACTTTCCTGGGAGCGAAGGGCACACGTGTGCTGTGGCGTAGCGCGGTGACTGTCACCTCCCTGCCTGGCCGCTCTCGGCGCCTGGCATTGGGCGCACATTTTGATTAATCTTTGTCCCCGCACAAACGCGTGAGCCAGCCTTCCCCTCTACGCTGGCGTTGATGGGAGCATGGGGCCACCGTGACTGCTGCCCAGCAGTTGGGAGGGACGTCGGGATGAGAGCAGCACGGCATCACAAGCTGTGCAGGCGTCTTTATTCGGATTCAGGTTCTTGCTGAGCCCCAGATGATGCCGTGCAGCCCCCATGCTTTGGTAAGCTATGGGCTCACAGTGGGAGACTCCTTCCTGCAGCAAACCAGTGTGTAGTCCTGCTTCCTCAACCAGCAGGCCTCAGGTATGAAAACACTGCTGAAATTCCTGCATGTCATACCTCACTGCTTACCCTTCCTGGTCTTGAATCAGCACTTTTCTATTTGGAATTTGTTCGCAGCCTTAATATCACAGTAACGGAGGGGTATGGACGGTTATCCGTTGTAGACAGGCAATTAGGCTAGGTGTCAAGGCAGAAATGAAGCATGTGACAAACTGAATCTGAGCACTGAATCTGCTGCCTCCCCACGAAGCACGGCTCAGCGGTGGCGCGTTGACGTACAACTGCCTTTGCTGCTGCCTGCCCGAAGGAAGGTATGCTGAACACTCATTTTTCACTTATTAAATCACCATCATTAACCACGATGCTGCCTGTTGTACAAACAGCTGGGAAGACAACTCCCAGGTTACCTGAAGCAGAAACCTCCCCGCAAACCATCTTTTTTAGGTAATTGCGTGATGGGCAGCAGGCAGGGCAGTGGTGGCTTTCGATCACACAGCAGTGGCACATGTGGCTCACGTCTGGGTGCTGCTTTGGGGAGGAGGGATGCAGGGATGTGTGTGCTGTGAGGGCTGGTGCCAGGCTGGAGGCACCATTTCCCTTGGTAGCACTGTGGTCTTGGCTTAACCTAAACTGATGATGAACCTTTGAGATTAACAACAAAAGTTTTTGATGGGTAGCTATAAAAGCATGGCTTTGCGAGTAACTCATTGTAATGTGTGCACTGCTGATCCTGGTGGCTCTAAGGCAGCATTCATGTACCGCCACCACCATGCTCATTACCTTTATAAATCATTTGGGGTTAGATTTTAAGATCAGTAGCTGTAGGAAAAAGCTTGTATCAGTTTGGAGGTTTTTTGTTTGTTTTGTTTTAATTTAGATGGCAGGCCTACAAAAGGAATGCTTTGTGACAGAGATGGTCTTGAGATTCCACTTGCCTCCCTGTACACAAATCCTCTTTCTTTGCTTTAAGCCATTAAAACAAACCCTAGTGGGGATAGATGCGTGAGCTGGAACGGCACGGACAGGACAGTGGCTGCTTGTACTGCTTTCTGAGCAGGGTAGCAATGATGGTGGAAGAGCAGAGATTACGGGGGGGGGCGGGAATTGAGCAATTTTTAACACCATTTTTGCCTCTGATAAAGATCTGATTTAAAGTAAATCTGCACTGTGGTTAAATTTATTATCCATGATACTGGACAGAGCTGTGGTATCATCCTGCAAAATGACTGACATGGTCAACATGACCCTATTAAATCTAGTGAATCTATTAGCTGCTTACTGACAGCAGAGCTTGCAATTCCCTCAGCAGAGTTTTGTGCTGGATATCTAAAAATCCTATTAATAATCTGAATATTCAGGCTTTGCTATTGTGAGTCCTTCTAATCCCGTGGATAAGAGAAGCTGATAGCTGGGATGTGTTGTGCTGCCAGGTCATTAGTTGGCTTCTCAGTGAAAGTTTAGACTAGAAATACAGACCAATTTTTTAATAGTAAGGGTAATTGGTTATGGGAACAAATTACCCAGAGGTGGTGAACTGTCTCTTGGAGCCTTTAAAACACGATTTATTTACTTGAGAGAGAGACTAGCTCAAACAAGACTTGTTGAGCTGTAGAGTGGAACCCAATAGGTAAAATTCAAGGGGCGTGTGGGAGCCTGGACAAAGTGACTGTTGTGGTCGAGGATGATCTTTGATGTTTTTATGTGCCCTGGAGGGTTTGTGCAGCCACGGGCTGTACCTTCAGGTGCTCCAGCAACCACTGTCCCACTAGCTGCCTCCACCTGGGCCTAACGAGGCGTAATTGGTCCCACAGTTAGTGTTTTATGTTTCATTTTATGCAAAAAAAGGTCAAGAAACTTCAGATGGGCAAAACTTGACATCCTTGTCTCTGGGCCAGGACCCTGGTTAGAATTGGCTGCGATGATTGAAGATGTTAATGACAGCAGGGTCTCTGCAGCCGCAGAGGTTTGGGCATCCATCGTGTTTGTCCCGTTCTGCCCTGCCACACCAGCCCTAACGAAGGAGCCGGGTTAGTAGCTATATGCGCTAAATTGTTAAATTACCGCAGCAAAATTAGCAGGGCGTTTTATGTTGCCATCTTCAGAAGGAAATTCAGTTAATACTTCTGATGAGCTTCTGTACTAAAATTTCTGAATGCCAACAAGGTGGAAATAAACTGGAGCTGCCTTGCTAAAATCTAATGGCTTTAGGTTATGCAGCTCTTTCTGTGCTAATATGTGGTGTAGCTTAATAGGAACAGATCAACAGTATGAAATTGGTGCTGCTTAGCCTCTAATGCATGTATTGTGTGCTTTTCAGGGCATTTTACATAGGACTGGCTGTGGTCTGGTTTCATGAACTGAATGTCCATTAGTGGAAGCCATCTCTTGATTTTCCTCTCATCTGAAAGGCATCCGGTCCTCGTGCACCGAGGCTGTTCTGGGCTGTGAAGCCAGGGACAGCAAAGTGGAAGCGATGGGTGGACTCGCTTCGAAAGCGTGCGCCTGCCTCGCGTTAAAATGGTAACGGAGGGGCACCCAGGGAGAAGTAAAATGGCACTTCTTGGAATAGCTGCATGTTTGGTTTTCTACATAATAGATTAGTATATATCTTGGATCCAAAGGTATTCCTGGAAAAAAACACCCACATGTACAGGGGGGTGCCATGGGTTTGGTAAAATGGTCACATTGCAATAGGTGAACTGGTAGGAGAGCATCAGAAAGAGCAAGCAGCTGCAATTGCAGATTTATGTCTCAGAGAAGGCTTTTATTTGTGCAGTGCCAGTTGGCAGGTTTCAGATTTTTAGGTAAATCGCCCGCTGCGAAGAGCCAGTTGCCCACTTTGGGGTGCAGGCACTGCCCGCCGCCACCAGCGCGCTCGGAGCTGCGGCTTGGGTCACAGCGATCGCCTTCAACATGAGCTGAACGGGGACTTTCTAATCTAAATGCTTGTTGGTTTTCATATCCACCAAGCATGGAACACCAAACTGTTCAATAGACAAATAGCATTAATCTTCACTTCATTTAGAGACTTCAGCTTTGATTTTTGAATGTGAAGAACGGGTCAATGCTGAGTCTTCCAAAGGCTGTGGCATAGTCAGAATGAGCTCCTGGCTTTAATTTCAGTTGCTTTTCAGTTACCTTTTGTGATGAGAATCAAATTACTTGATCAGGGAGGTGACAAATCTTCAATAATTCACAGAATCACAAAATTCATTAAACTATGATGACATTACAACATCCTATCTTCCCCCCCGCCCCTCCATTTTGTTTAATTTTTTTTCTGCTGTAGAGTGGACACCATGTTTTAGATTCAAGGCTGCCCACCCAGGTATTTCAAACCAGTGTGTCAGCTGGAGAATTGATAACTGACGTACCCTCGCATTAGTGCTGCTAAATGGTTTTTCTTCTCAACAGGATAATTATATTGATTGTGGCTTAGAACTTCAGAAATTAGACTGCGGCTGCATAAAGTGTGTTTCAAAACTCTGATATAAGCTATATTATACAGAAAAAAACCTCCCAGCAAAACCAGATCACCACCATTGTTTTATCTAACACTCCCAATTTGATACAAATTAGGATATTTTTGACCCAGTGTCTGCTTAAAAAAAGAGGCTGCCACTGCTTCCTGGCCCCTTGCCCTCTCAGTAATAACAGGGCTACCGCGAAACTTGCTGTATCAAACCTTGGTGAAATCCAGCTCTCAGCGGGTGAGCCTGGATACATACTTGAAATGTTGGATTTCATCCCCAACAAATGTTTTATAAGGATTTTGCCTTTAAGATAATTGATTTTTGGCTTTTGACTGACTGCTCAAGAGCAGTCTTCTGTGATGGTTGGGTGTGAAGGTAAGGGAGCACTGTTGTATTGGATGCGCAGCCCTGCGGAGTGCTTGCGTGGCGCTCGTTCCTGCGGGTTGAAGGCAGCGTGTGAGATGTTGGCGTGCAATCCGCTGGCCTTGGGCGATCCCAGCAGCCGAGGCCATAGGAGATTGCGGATTGAAGCAAGGCTGTTCTGAGCTGGCTGGCTGACTGAGCTGGCAGTAGAGAGAAATCTAAAACTCTGAGGTTGAATGTGGTCTCTGGCTGATAAGGAGCAAAAAGATGGCTAGATTTATCAAACCATCCTTTTCTTCTGAAAGAAAGCTGAAGAGTGTTACAGGTAAAATCGTAGGATGTTAAAAGTTCCTGTCCTGCCCAAACCGGCCAGGAGGAGAGTGCTTTATCAGGGAGGTGGAGAATTTACTTCTAGTGTGCATAATCACTTAAAGTAATAAAGACGCTGACAATATGCTTGAAATGAATAGTACTTGGTTTTACGTTGAGACCCTGAATACCCGTTTACCTCTTTGTCTCTTGTTTTTCAGGCTGGACGCAAAGAAAGAAGTGATGCACTGAACTCTGCAATTGATAAAATGACCAAAAAGACCAGAGACTTGCGTAGACAGGTAATTAATATATAAAGTTGATACTTGTTGAGACAAATGAGTGCATTCC